TCGTGTTGCGCAAAGTCATGTATCAGGATACGAGCAAGACGAGCAAGGCGCAATGCAATAGTATTTCAATGACGCCCTCGCTAGTGGGAAATCGCCCATCTCCGAGACTGGATCCCATCACTTGGCACATAAGCTTGTTCGCGATTCGGCGCCGACGCAGCCGCGTGATTCGCCGGACCTTTTGCCAGCGCGAACCTGCCCAAAGGGGGATCCTCCCAATAAAGCAGCAAAACCCACACGCAGCACCAGATGAAGGCGGTTTCCCCCAGGATTTTCATTAATTAATACGGCGTGGTCTGCGTGGTTATATCCGGGAGTAATGGGTAGGTATGTACGAGTACATGTGATGCAATGTCCCTACCTCTATACGGAGTACAGAGAGCCAAAAGATAGGTACCTAGGTACCATACCTGTAGGAGATGTACTTGCGCCATACCTGCTAAATGAATCACAATACACATCAACTTTGCAAAACCTCAAAAACCCCGCCTTCCACACGCCCTGCATGGCACCTACCGCGCAAGGCTTAGCGCTCCACCAAGTTCTCGTCCCAGGCGGGGGTGGGAAGGGAAAGAACAGCCCAAGAATGGCTGGGGCTTCTTGCAAGCTTAGCCCCGGGCCCTCTTTTTCTTTTTTCCAGCCTTGAGACCTTTTTTCCCTTTGGATTGTGCGTTGCGGCAAGAAAGTGGTCCGTGCTCGGTATTTAGTATTAGAACCCAGCCTGGCCCAGAGGAACTTTTTGAGAGGGCCCGGGTCAGCCCAGAAAGAGCAATTCTGTGAGTGGGCAAAGGGGCCATTTTTCGCTTTGGCACCGACGTTTTTGTTTTATTTTATTTTATTCGTCACATTCCACGGAGGTACCTTTGTTTTAGCAGCTGGCGACACGTATTGCGCGCCAAGGGATTGGTTTACGAGTACAAGTACTGCAATATCGAGTCGCTGCTTGAGCTACCACTGCCATGAATGATGGAAGCTGAAGCACAATCTTCAAGTACTAATGATTGGCGTATCATCTCTTGCCATGGTACCAGGAACCTTGGTAGTCGTATTGCCTACTAATCGGTAGCAGGTCCCTGTACTCGTACTTCGTAAATGGACCTGGCAGATCGCGCTTTGAAATACTACCAAAGGTACCTCGCTCTCTTTGCTGCGACCATCCGAGCAAAGTACCTGTACCCGGCTGTTCGTCCTCATTAGGTGGCCGTAGCACTCTGCTCCCAAGCCCCTCTTTGTACCCCATACAGGCCGTTGCTAAATCCGCTGTATTTGCACAATTGTGGGGAATCCGTTCGTACGAGAGTACCTGCTACCAGGTACAGCTTGGTACAGCGCTTGGTACAGAGTACAAGTACGTACTTCTCGGTAATCCTGTCCTTCTCAGCTGCTGGCTCTTCTGCTCTTGAAACACCAATAATTCCTCAATGGCGTCGGCTCGTCAGCCTCCTTTCCCATAGTCCGTCGAGGCTACCAGCTCATCTCCTTGGTTAGAATCTTCGCCATCCTCCTCGCCCATCGGCAAACCATTGCTCACGGACTATTACAGACATTTCCGCATCCGCATTAATAAGTGCGCACAAAACAAACACAAACACAAACCAACTGGAGCAAAGGAAACGCCGCAGCCAGTAGTGGCGCTTCCCCAGCGCCTCGTTGGCCACCAGGGCTACCATTAGCACGGCTCTCCCGGGTCAGGCTCCCGAAAGCGGCTCAGCTGGCCTGGCTAAAAGGGTCCGTGGTCCAAAGAGGCTTCCACGGGTACGGAGTACGAGTAGTTGAATCTGATGCTCATCAGAATCGTCGTCGTCGTCGTGGCGCGGCTTCGTTTGAGTCCTCGGTCCACGCCCATCCCCACAGCTGCACTCGCGGCGACACCCCCTTGGGCAAACCCCTGGCGTTGACTTACATGAGATGCCAAAGTGTGCCGTGTCCGCCGTTCTGTCGCCGACGCTCATTCGCCTGCGCCGCTAACGACCTGCTATCCTCCGTGCTGCTACCACCACAGACGCCTCGAAAGTCTTGCTCGCCACCCGCACGTTTCCTCAAACAAGCACCTCCCGTGTCAGCGCAACATTGGAATCCGCTTCGCATAAGCTTTCCGACTCTTCCTGGTAACCCTGAGGGAAACGCGACGCATCGGGTCCAGTGCAATACCCGACAGATTCACGCATCGAAGCCCACAACGGGTCTCATCGACACTAACAAAAGAGCCACCGTGCAGGGCTCCAGCACCTCATTGCGACCACGGCCCCGTCCTTGTTTCTTGACTCTCCATTTCACTCTTCCACCCCCCCACCGTGCTCCTCTTGAGACTCTTGTTTCGTCCTCGTAGTTGTCGTTTTCGATCTTCTCTTGGGTTCATCATGCGCCAGGGCGGGTCGTTATGAGCACAAACGGTCATGATCCATCTACGGAGACTCCTCCTGTCAGCAGCAAACGAATAGAGTTCCTTGTCTCGAGCCGCACACGCCACTGGAGGCAGATCGGATTGCCAGTGCTACGTCAACACACCGACCCAACGCCCGTCACCTCAACGTCGCTCTTCCAGTCTTCTGTTCGCCCCGGGACATATAAGCCGGGCCCGCCCCCATGGACCGCCGTGGCTCGGCCGGAGAGAATGGACACTCACCGACCCAGTCTGCGCCGCCTCTCCGGCGGCGTCTATCTATGGAGGAGGACATGCACTACCAGCACATCATGACACTGTCTCAACAGCGGCGTCCATCACATCCACCAGCATATCAAAACGCCGATCTACCCGTGATGCAACGAGAAGGGGAGGGTGTTGTTAGTGGTGAGGTTGGTGAGAAAGGCGAGGACAAGGGCTCAGTACCAGCAAAGAGCAGCTGGCTGGACCGTATCAAGAGTAGAGGGAAGGAACCTAGGACGGCCAAGTTAGGTGACGGTCTCGACGACGAGGGTGACGGTATCCCGGACATCATGGCTGGGGGTCCTGAAGAGCTTCCCAGCTACTCCAGTTCTATTGCCATCGAAGGCATATTTCACAAGAAGCATGAGATCGAAAACACCACCAAAAGGGCAGAAGATCGACAGTGGCATACCGTTGCTGTCGTTCTCAACGGAACCGCCCTAAGCATCTACAACACCAAGAAGGACTGGGGCTGGGGCAAGGCACGCGATGGCCCATCCATTAGTCCCGACAACCCTCCTTGGATTAAGAGAGCGAAACTCGAAAAAACGTATAGTCTTTTGCACGCTGATGCTGGTATTGCTGCCGACTACAAAAAGTGAGTTCTTTTCCCACTCGTCGTCACTCTTGTATATCCCGCATATCAAGATGAGACCTCATCAAGAGAAGAGGGGTTGAGGAGGGAAAAAAAAACTCTCATGTGGCATAGACTAACCCGCTTCATCCATAGGCGTCGTTACGTTATTCGAGTACGGGCTGAAACGGACCAGTTTCTTTTGTCTTGTATCGAACTAAGCACGTTCGTCAAGTGGCTTGAGTGCTTGTTTGCGGCTATTGATGTTGCAGCACCCATAGATGAGCGAGACTTCCCGCGCGACATGTCTATCCCTCGAATCCAGCGAATCCGGTGGTTCCGCAGTCAAGCTGGCTTCGTCTACCCAAGCACCCAGCCGGAAATTCAGCAAGACCCTCCTCCAGAGGCCGAGGCCTTAGGCACTCATGATGACCCGGAGCAACGACCTTCATCTCCTCCTCCTCTGCCAACTCCAACGCCCGCACCTTCACGACCCCGCCCGGAAGAAGAGGCACAGAGCACCGAGGTTCTAGCTCCCCACCTGAGAATCGATCCCAGAAACGACCCATTTCACACTATGAGCACATCCTCGTATCCAAATCCATCCATCGATCCTCATACCGGCAAATGGTTTCCCGAGCACCAGTGGTCAACTGCTCACGACTTGTTATATGCCAAACTTTGCTACAGCAATCTTCTATTCCGAAGCCCACGCAAATCAAATTATATCATCAGCAAAGGGAAGCAGTGGTTCGTCGACTGGGGCACGGGCAGAATGGTTCGCGTGCTCCCACCAGCTTATGGTGAGATTGAATACTTTGGCCCCTGGCAGGTTATTCATACGGAGAACAGAAGGATCTAGGGGGCTGCTTTGGACAGAAACCAGGGTGATGGAGGTCAGATCAGACATGTTGGGTGACCCAACTAGAAAGGGCATTATGGCACGGGTATGCATTATGAATTGGGTGCATCAGACTTACCGACGCGAAGAGTGCGATTTCGCAAAGGACACCATGGGTCCTATCGACACTCGGTCATCAACTCCATGGACATGGACATAATATGTCCGTCTGTTTTTCTACATTATATTGTACATGATACGCAAAGCCTAATCAGCAAGGCTTGGGAAGTCCCGTATGGGAACTCAGATGGGGTGGGGGAAGGGGCAGGCTCTGCATTGTGAGCTTCTGGAAAAGGTGTTGGCTTTTGTTTGTGCATACAGGGGCGTCTGGGAGGAGCATTTTACACATACATAACCGGCGGCAACAGCATCATGGACCGGAGTTATTTTCTTTTCCTTTTCTTTTTTTTTTCCTTTCATCCCTCTCTCTCTCTCTATTTCCTATATCTTTCTTTTCTCTAGGCATCTAAGACATGTACAACATCTCCATTGCATAGCGACGGGGAGTGCGAAAGCAGGCAAAGGATGCATGCTTGTTGGATACAGCTGCATACCGGCCCTCTGTATATATCGCAATACATTCAGTTCATACAAGTTTGATTTACCAATGCCTAAAAATGAAATATTTGTAGAAGATTTACGAAAGATAAAAAATAACGTAAATTCAGGGGGTATCATTTAACCAAGTCTAAGCCCAAGTCCAAATCCAAATCCAACTAATTCATCAATCATCCAGCGCTCTCCCTCAAGTTTTAGCCTATGCAGATGCCGCATCTATCCTCCCTCACATGGCGCTCAGATATGACTCTTAAAAAATGTCTTGCATGAAAAAAACAGAACAGCCGCTATTCCTCCTCTGAAACCGTCTTTTCCGCGTCTCTCGCCTCCCTAGCTAGCTGTTGGACCACGGGCTCCAGCGCCGCATTCGCGCTCTTGACGTCCCCCACGGCAGCCTCCAGCGAGTCGAGCAGCATTTCGATTTCGGCGCGCTGGCTCTGGATCTGCTCGTACAGTATGGCGTTGCGGGACTGTGCGGTCTGAAGCCGTGCGTTGAGCAGGGACTGGTGGGGGGCGAGGGAGGGGGCGAGATGTGCGGAGAGGATTTCGCGTGCGGGGAGGAGATGGGGTCTGTAATTGTTGGTGAATTGCAGTTCGTTAGTTTTTCACTTTTTTGCTAGATGTGGTTATTTGGGGTGAGAAAACGTACGGAGTTGGCTTGGGAGCGTCGGGAGGTGCTGATATGCGGCGGTGAGTGGCTTCGCTGATGAGAGTTTCCAAGTCGTTGAGTTTGAGGACGACTTGCCTCGTCGCTAGAATGCTTTCGAATTCCTTCTGCACATTTCACTCAGTCAATATCATCCATCCCCCGAGCTGTCAAAGGGGAGGGGAAGCACGAACCTCGCACTTCTCGCCCAGCTTCTCAACCATCTGCGCCTGGACCTGCTTCAGCACCGGCTCGGCCTTGCTTGCCACCGTCGGATAGCAGGCCGCGAAATTGTCCCATTTCAGCTTGCCCAGCGTGCGCCGCAGGCTCTGCGCGTAAAGCTCCTGCAGACGGGCGGCGCGGGGCCCGGCAACGACGGGCTGGGCCGGCTGTGCTGCGCTTTGAGCATCGTTGGAGGCGTCAGGATGGCTGTCCTGGTGGTGAGACGTCGGATCTGGGGCTTCGTCGGTTTCCATGGGGGTGGCTGTTTGCGCTGCGTCTGCTGGAGGTTGGGATGTTGTCGCCATTGGCGATTTCGTAGGGCTGAGTGAGGGTTGGTTGTAAGAGGAATCAATATGCGTGCACCGCAATGCCAAGATGGTCTGATGCGGGGATGGGATTCATGTATATCAAGGTTTATAAAATGAGGAGCAGCATGGGGCGAGAAGAAGCAATCCAAGTCAATCGCAGCTACAAAAGACGTTGAAGATACTTTACATGGTCGAGCGCGTATCAACCAGAGGGACGCGACGTGGGGTTTGCTCTGACGTTGGATGAGGCACGTGACGCCGGCTTTGGTGGAGTAGACTCGCGGAATGCAGGGGACTACCTGCCTTTCTTGGTGTGAGAGAGTCACTTCATTCGTCTTGTAATGCTTGTAGGGTTCACATTCTCTCATGGTTCTTACATCCAGGCAAAACGAATATCATTGCCAGCTTTTTTTAGATTATCCAGATAGATCAATGTATGATTAATGCACAATGAATCTTGAATAATAAGTACATCGGCTGAGCACCGTATGATCTTCATGCAAATCCGCTCATCCACTTGCCCCAAGTGCTGTAGCCCGTCGACCCATGTCTACCTATCTATATATATCTTGTGTTCCTGTCGACTCATATATAGCTCCCAACCATGCTCTCTTTATACCATTTGTCTCTTCTCACCTCCCCCGAATCTATATACATCTCCTGTCTTCCCTCGTCTCCCTCGCGATTTGGTATCAGAAGTTTCCCAGTTCATAGCACAGTCATAAATACACCATTGTATTGTCACCCCCCTCCTGCCGAGGCCAAAGGCCAGCCCAAACCTCGTCCCTATCCCGTGGTAATAGATATGAAAAGTATTAGTTTGCTGCCAAGATAGCCGCTGCATCAGGTGCCGAGGTGCGATCATTCTTGCCGCCATCCCTCTTCAGCTCCTCTTCTTCCTTCTTCTTGCGATCCAGCTCCCGCTGGCGCTCGTGGCTGACATATGTAGCGTACCGGATCGTTCCCAGCGTCAAAATGGCCATGAAGAGGATGCCCACTACGGATCGCCGGATGAGAATCCATCGAACGCCTTCAATCTCCGACTTGGAGTCGCTGCTCAGCATGATGCTTATTTTGTAATTGATTTGTTGAATCTATCGACCAGTTAGCAATCACAGACTCGCTTCCCAAGTTCCAAGTGGGCCAGTTGGGACATACGGCACTCTCCACCGCCTTTTGCTCTTCTCTGACTGTCATCTTGCGGTCGTTGAAAATCCCCCGCACATTGTCATTCAGAGTGAGTAGTTCCTGGTTCAGCGTCTGCGTCAAGATGTCGACTTCGTGCTGGAGATGTGTGCGCTGCTGCCGGATTTGCTCATCCTGGCCTCGGCGATTGTTCTTGATTTCAGCACTCAACTCTGAACACGCAGCAGAGAACAGATAGGATTCCTATTAATCAGAGTCAGCCCATTATTCTGATCCAGCTTGCCAGCTTAGTGGGGAGCACATGTGCCGTCTCCTTCACTCGCCCCGACAAACAGAATTGGGATGGAAGGTTGCCTCACGTTTTCTATATCGCTCTTGCTGACAAGCTTTTCTTGCGCCATGTCTAGATTATGGGCCAGGATAGTCCGGATGGCCTTCATCATGGTAACGGCCTGCTCGCTTGAATAGCCCCCTTCCTGCAGCTGCTTGACGAGAGAATAGCTATCGAAGTGATGAATATATTTTGGCGGGGTCATGGATGGAGTATGCGGTGACATATTCTCGGGAGCACCCATATAATAGACAGTATCCAGCTTGTCGCTCATTTTCGTGCCATCCTTGGGTTTACCAGTCTTGGCTTCAGCGCTCCCGCTCCTGCTTCCACTCGCATCACTCGAATCAACTTGCTTGGGTGCACCAGACGGAACCGTATCCGCTCCAACATCCGTCGGCTCTGATGATAATTTCTGCTCTGCCTGGTTCTGAGCAGCCTTGAGTTCCTGTTGCTGACTCCTGAGAGCCGCTGCGTCAGTCTCCGGGGCGTCAGTTACCGCCTGGGCTGCCTTCTTCTCGCCATCCTGAAAGTACAGCTTGCCAATATCAGATTTGGCCTGAACATCGGCTAGTGTATCCGCTGCTGCCTCTGTCTGATCCGCCACCGCGTCGTCCAGCGCCGTCTTAGTTGGCACGTCTTGCTCCTGTTGGTCCTGCCGGTCTTGTTGTTGCTGCTGCTGCTGCTGCTGCTGCTGCTTCTCCCATTCTGTGGGCTCAACAGCCTTGCCACGCCTCTTTGCAAACGAACTATTCCACCTCGTAGTCGTCGCTGTCGTTGTCGAAGCCGTCGTCGCCCATCCCCTCGCTGGGCCGCAGCCCCTCGTCGCAGCTCGCAACAATTGGGGATATAAAAAGGTCAGTCTCCCCGCTGAAGCCATGGCAAAAGCAGGTCAGGTCTCGTCGTGCCCGAGATTGAGTGTCTGTTATAAGTCTAAGGAACTCATGGGATTCGGCGTCGGAAAGGACTACAATGCACCTCTTGGAATACAATTAAGGAACGGAACGAGGCCATTGGCAAGGCAAAGGAGAGTGTGGGACATAAAGTGGCTATCGTCGGGAACAAGTGCCGCAGCGGCAGAAAGTAGCGTCCAGGTGGGCGAGGCGCTAAAACATTGATCCGCCAGTGTCGCGACATGTCAAATGCCGAGCATCGCAGATATCCCGAGTGACTCCCGAGTTGGGCATCGTGATGCTTTTTGGAATCAGAATCAATCCATCTATTACGGAGTAGACTATAACTCATTAGAACATCACATCCCCGTGGGGCGGGATAATCGAGCAGATTTCAACTCAAGGCATCAGCAGTTGGTCCTCATTCTGTAGTGGGACAAATGAGCATCCCAGACTCTCTACAGCTTTTCTATGGACGTAATCCCAGACCCAGGTTTCAGCGCCTCCCAACCATAACGATAAAGTACATTTGCATCCCTCGCTATCCTATGTGCCCAGTGCTGCCCGGCTCCCAACATCCGCTGGAAAGGAGTGACCAAGTAGAAACGCTGAAGTCGGTAGACGAGGTGGAAAAAGAAAAAAGAAAGAAAAAAAAAACACAGAGAAGAAGGATTAAACAAGAGGAAAGAAGAAAAACTCCCAGTAGCCCCCGAAAAAAAAAGCCCAAGTTTGTGTTTCGTCATCCATGAAAAATGCCAAGTTCCGGGATGAATATACCGCCACGTCTTATTCGCATTGTCCTGACAAATATCCAGAAACGACTGGCCCCATGCCGTCGTCAGGTATGATGGCTAAGGGGTAGCCAAGCCACTATGCGTCTTCCGTTTGCTATATTAGAATAATAATAATAAAATGAATAAAACAGACGTGCACAATATTAATATCACTTAGCCATGCCATTGAAAAATAAAGACGATGGGGAGGGCTCAGCAGAAGGATATCGCCCCTTGTCTTGCCTCTCCCCATCAAGGCAGGCAAATGCACTTGTGTATTTATGTTTCTTTCACATTGGGACCACGTTTCCTTTGGTAATGGAGTAGTGGTTGTTGTTCTTGTCGTTGGCGGGGTGTTGTCTTTGCCGTATACATTTATTCGAAGAAGCCGAACCACAGAATGTGTTCAGCCAAGATTGCAATTCGACGTGCAGCTTTACGACTCCGCATCTTGGACCTGCACAGACACTCCATGAATAGAGTTCCTTGAGCTCTTGTCCGTAGCATCAGTAGATGGGACGCCAACCGCGCTGGCATGAGTACTGGGCGGGCTGCTGGTTTGCGGGCTGTTGGTTTCATGCGTAAGAGAGGGAACTTCGGCGACAGAGTTGGTGTCTGACTGAGTAGACGATTCGCTCTTGGAGCCACTCAATCCGAGGAGTTTCTCTAGCGCCTGTATCTGTCGAGAAGCCACACTCTTCTTAAGGCTGTAAAATTGAGGCTTGATTTCTTCAACCAGGAGGTCCCTCTCTTCACCCTGTAGCTGGCCCAGCATCTTTTCTGTTAACAAGTTAGCACATTGTCCTTGCCATCGCCAATACGACTGGGTTGTTTCCGTCAGTTGCGGACCAAAGACTTACGGATGACATAATTTCCAAACTGGTCTCTCATCATCTGCTGCAGCGGGTTGTTTCCATCGGCCCCAGTAGTCGTGAGCTGCTCTCGAATGGTTGTGCGTTGCGCTGGTGTGCCGTACTCGATGCATTTCTCTACAACATTGGATGCGAATTTATGCTTAGAAAGGGTGAGGAGCTGGCCCATGACTAGCTGAATGATTCTCTCGCGATCCTCCGGCTCGCCGTTCTGGATGACGTGCTGAGCGACATAGTTACCGTATTGGTCGGTAATCAGGATCTGAGCAGAAGCGTGTAGCTCACCCATGATCTCTGCTTTGTCGGCTTCGGTTCCATGCTCCAGTAGTCGTTGGATGACTCGGCAGCCGTATGCATGGGAGGCCAGGGGTGTCACTTGGCCACGCACAGCGTTCATGATAAAGTCAATGTACTGTCTCGGGACGAGCTCAATAATCTTCTGGACAACATGGTTGCCGTTCTGATCCTTGATTACTCGCAAGATCTCAGGTTCCAGTTCCCGGGTCAGCTCGGCTTGCTGTTCGACCAAGATGTGCTCAAGGGCCTTAAAAGGAACAACGTCAGCAACAGGGGGGGATAAAAACTTCTTATGGGGCGCTGTTTGCACTAACCTTCTGGACGACACGGCAGGCGTAAACTTGGACGGAAAGATCAACTACTTTGCCCTTCATCTTTTCCGCCAAGATCTTTTTCTGAAGCTGGCTTCCGTACTCGAAAAACTTCTGCACCACGTAGTTTCCAAAGACGTCTTTCATGAGTTGGAGGGCATTGGGCTCAATCTCACGGAAGACCTGCTCCTTTTCGTCGCTGTTGGCAGACTCCAGCTTCTGCTGGATAAACCTGGAACCATGCTGATCTCCACTGAACTCCACGGCGTGATTGTAGATGTCCCTGAGCTCGTAGCGCTTGTTGGACTTGTTGCCGTTGACACGGAACTCATCCAGCAGAGCGCTGCGCATGCCTTTGCTAGGGTCTTGATCTCGGGAAGGCCTGATTGCTGTCATAGAGTTGAGTTGATAGCCAGGGTGAATCGACGGGACAGGATAGTTGGGTATAATGGGACGGAAGTTTTGTGTGTAGGCCTCTGGATAAGAGGGTGAGTACTGAGGGGCGAGCTGAGGATAAGGAAACTGGTTTTGGTAATACTGCGCAGAGAAGTTGGACGCAGCGGCAAATTGCTGGCCAGAGGGCCTCCGCTCATGTTCGGCCGCCCGTTGGCCTCGTGAGGATGGCCTGCTCATCCAAGCATCCGCGCCCGGAGCGAAAGGCCTTGAGTTGGGACCGGAATCCAAGCGGTAGGCAGAGCCGGGCGTCGGCGAAACTCTCTCGAGGGAAGGGCGCCTAACGGAAAGCAAGAGAGGATCTGCGCCAAAGTCGATGCCACCTCCAGTCCTCGAGGCGCCGGTCTCACTCAACCACGGCACCGAGGCAGGGTTGGAATGAAACGGCATCGAGGTAGGGTTAAACGGCTGCCCACCAGGCGAGCCGTTGAGATTGATCTGGCGGGCCATCCTAAGGGAGAGATCGTCGTCGACTTGTCTGTTGAGGCTGAATGCTCGTTGATTCGCTACCTGGGGGAAAGAAAGAGTATGCTGTCTAGTCGAATGAATCGAGTTACTAGGAGTGTGGCCGCTGCTCTGTTGATATAGCTCGGCGTAGGCTGGAGAGCCTTGCGACTGTCGAGAGGGCGGGAGGCTTGCATCTCGGGGTTGGGCAAAGGCTGTCATAGGATCCATGTAGGCTGCATCTTGGGGGCCTCGCTTCTGAGCGGCGGCAAAGGCAAATGCGTCCGAGTCATCAACAAAGTTGCTGGGACCGCCCAAAACGTCCTTTTTCATGCCAATGGCAGGGTGGTGATTCGCATAAAAAGTGTTCGGGATGCCTGCATCTCGTGCTCGGCCGGGCGAGTTGTTGACGGAACGAGCAGGGTTTTCGTTGTTCCAGGGCTTGGAGTTGGGGACCCAGACGTCGGCCTCAGAATTGGCATGGAGGGCACTCGAGCCCGTTGGGTTTTCTTCAGGTTCTGCATCACTGTGAGTCGTGTGCGTCCAAGCAGAGTACGGAGAGGTGAGGGGGTGGCCGCGCTGACGCAATCGGCATGCCGTCTCGCCATGGACAAGCAAAGCAAATACGCACCTTTGGGGCCGGCAGAGCGATCTCTGTTAGATTGAGCAAAGGGCGACCAGATGTTTTTGCTCGGATAGAGGTTGGAGCCAGGAAAGCCCGAGCCCACAGGCTGCTGGGCCTTTTCGGCAGATCCAGAGGGCATGGCAAAGCTGGGATAGGCCCTCAACCGCGTCTGGAGAAAGAATGAAGGATGACAGTTAGCGATTGTGCGGCGGTCAGAACAGAAGCAAAGACGAAACAATGCTGAGGTTGGGACGAGGGCCAAGGCGTGGGGAGTCAGGCCTTTGTGACCCGCTAAGGGCGAATCAAGCCTCCTTCCGTGGGCGCTAGGCTGGCGCAACCTTTTGAGACACTTGAGCGGCCCCCCCTCTGACGTCGTCTTTCCGCGCCGGGATCAGGCTGGGACGACGATTTCGGGTTGTGGTGCTGTTTGCACTTTGGCAGCAGCAAGGGTTTGGGCGGGTGGGGGAGAGGACGAGAAAGGGAGATGATTTGTACCTTTGGCTGACTCACCGTGGTCGCCATCTCGGGCTTTTTCTCCCAGGTTCAGCTTCCTTAAACGAGGGCGAGACGAGTGCACTGGCTGCTAAACCAACTAGTAGGAGCCGTTGCGCGCTGACGGACAGGTGCCGATGCACTGCAGAACCACTGCCAGGCCTTGCGCTGGTGCCAACAGTCCACTGCAGGATGCTAGAGCTGCCTGGGCAAAGCACGCCTTGGCGGGGACTCGACTCTGGGGAACGAATATGGCCGTGACAAAGGTCCAGATAGCCGACTGGGCCTTTTTTTTTTTGCTGTGCAGCCAGTGGACACGTTTCCGACCCCTGTGCCTTTGTTCGCAGCCGATAGACTAAGGTAATGTAAGGTTTGGATATACAGGTACTAGTGAGTGAGCAGGAAGCCGGCGCAATAAGTACTCGAGACGCTGGCCCTCCCTTGGAGATAAGGGTTTGACTTTGGGGTTGAGACCGCGTCAAATGGTCGGCAGGACTGGGGCTGAGCCGTTGCGAGACGCGGAAAAATTATTCAAGCAGCAAGAGCAGCTCATGTATTTTTCGTCGGAATTCTTCGCCGTGCTTGGGCTGTTTGTCTGGGGGGTTGTCGACTGAAGACTGCGGTGTCGATACGTGTCAGCGGCCTAGCGAGTGAGTCGCGGGCGTCTCCGGTAGGCATGTAATCAGGGTTTAGGTTTGCAAGGTCAGGGAGGAGGAAGGAAGCCAAGAAGCGTACAGGGGTATAATATATTCAGGAAGAAAGACAGAGAGGGTTCAAGATAATGTGAAGATAGTTTCGGTAGGCAATTACAATAGTCAGAGAGGGGCTGGAGGAAAGGCAGATAATTGGGATCGTGGATACCAGGACTGGAGCCTCTGGCGAGGCTCATGGTAGCACTACAAGGTGCGAAATGAAGGTTTTCCTTGCGGTATCGATGTGGGCAGCAGCGGGGCCTAGAGGACAAGGCCTGTTCCAGATGGAAAAACTTACTGTCTGAATTTGAGTGGTGGCCTGTCAAGGGGAAGACCTTGCATGTAAGATGCTTGTTTTTGCTAGACCGGATCGAAGGTTGTTTGGTTGGTTTTTTTTTTGGTATTTATTTATGTGTATTTTTTTCCAAAATACAGACTGTAATCTGCATGTACAGAGATCGGAGTACCGAGAAGGATTCAATTGGGTGCCAATTAAGCAGAAGAAGAGGAGAAAAGGCGAGTAAGGTTCAGGGCGAAACAAATAGACAAGAGGGGCGCCGAAGGCTAACCTTGTGATGTCGTCGATGACGAGGCAGGGTGGGTTGGGAGGAGAAGAAAAAATTATGTCCAGCGTGGCCAAAAGCGATTTGGAAGAGGAAGACAGAAAGAGAGTGAGAGAATTTGGGCCAACAGGTGCGGGCTCGACGGGTTAGATGTATGTCGGCCGTACTGAGGCGAGGAGGTGAGTCCAATGCGCAGATATGCTGGGCCGGAATGTAGATGTAGCAAACTGGGCGAGGATCGTGTCAATGGCCGGCGTGCCCTCGAATCACAGGAGGCATAGGGATGGGTACGGGTAAGGAATGTGTCAACAGGGAGGCAAGACGGGTTGAAATTGAATTGGTTTCTATTCTGGCTATGGCTCTGATTCTGATTTTGATTGCAATCTTGATTTTGATCCTGCCAGTTCCCTTCAGTTGCTACCTTGCCTTGGCCCAGTACTCGGTTGGTACGGATGTAATAGCAGCCTGGCAAGCACACAAGCACGAGGACAGGCAGGGCACAAGCCAAGCACAGCACTCACAAGAGCTCACCGTGACACTCTGCCTCTCCTGCCCATCTGCTACAGCTCAGAAGCGTTGCACAGCGCAAATGGCGTTACGAAACATGTCGTGACGGGACGAGTGATTGGGCCGGCGCTGGCCTGGGAGAGGGGCGAAAGAAGGGTGCTGGCAGATTCCGAAGCATTGATTGATAGGGTGCATGGCATGCCACTTCCGTGTATACTGTACTCGTACAATGCCTTGGTCAGTACAATCAATACTAGTAATTCAGATCCCGTGAAGCTTGCGCCCTCGGCACGAATTGACTGGTCCAGGCCGGGCCAGCACCAAGCAAGTGGAGGCTCACCAACCTAGCAATCAAGCATATCGATGCTACACTGGCCAGAATTGGAGGGGTGACGGTGCAGCACTAGGGTCGGCCATTTGTGAGATGGGCGAGTTTAGTTATTAATTTATTGAGTCGTGATAAGATGGGCGCGGACAAGATCGCTGGCTTGTGTCTCTTGTCTCTACAAGGCAGCTGGTCCTGAGGTACCTGCCTGTAATAAACAATCCCGGGGCACGTGAAATATATTTGCATGAGTAAGAGAGATCACAACCATTTCTCTTTATCTCTCTCTCTCTTTTTCTCCGTTTCTCTTGTTTTTCACTTTTTCCCAATTGCTCTTCTTCATTTTCCAGAGCGATGTAACGCCGACGAATATAGGTCGCATCAGCTGCAATTCCTGCCTGGCGGAGAGAGGCGGAAGACACACGGGACAGCAGACGAGAAACACTGGGCACGGAAAGCCAGCCTTCTTGTCCGCAGCATTGCAGATCGACAGACAGTCACGTTTATGCCATTGATGTGTGTACGAGTAAGACGGCCAAAACGCGCCGCAAGCTTACGTGAATTGTCACTGCCACGAGCTGATTTGAAGAGCCATGCCAAAAGCATCGACTAGCTGTAGATGCCTGCAAGGGTCGCTGTTGAAAGCCTCGGAAGCGTATGTGAAATGAATACACGTACAGTACTCCGTACCAGACCCAAATGGCCAGGCCAAACCCCTAGAGCACGAATGGACAGTTAAGAAAGTGGACGCAACTACCGAGAGACCCGCTATACACTTGCTGACGGCACTCTGTATGGAGACATGGTTCGGGGTAATATCGACAGCCCGTTCCATGCGGTCCCACCCGTGTCTCGATTTGCTTCCTTCTGTACGGAGTACTGACAAGAACCTTGCTATATGATTGCCTCCTCATCTCGTGCTTTCACAGAGGCGCCAATCAGTGCAATGCCAACAGCATCGGCAATGCGAAACATCAAAAGAAAAAAGAAGAAGAAAAAGGAGTTGATTCAATTGGCGCGCATCGTCATGTGCCTTGACCCCTGCTTGCGGCCGACCTGAGATCAATATACTGAGTCTCCGCCGACCGGGGCTAAAAGAGGACAGTCCAATCAAGCCTAGCGACTTGACGGACGGTGATCAAGCAGGCGATTGACATCCTCTCGCCTGCATGTAGATCCCAACCTTGAGATGGCGGACTGCCTTATCCAGGAGACACATGGCAAATCTCCATGCTCGACACCGGCGTCTC